TTCTGTATCTTCGCCGGTGGTCACGGGTCTATCAGGCTGAATTCGGGGAGAAGAGACAGCCGGGCCAGGGATGTTTACCTGAGGGCTGTCTACAGGGGGATGGTTTCAGCAGCCTACTGAAGGTCCCTGTTCGACCCAGAGCTTGCTGACAGCTCGAGCTTCGACGCTCTCTTCCTATTTGCTCGGTGCTTGATTCTGGAAATTTTAGGCTAGGGTTTTGGGAAGAAGAAGAGAGGTTTTGGGGACTTAAAAAGAGAGAGAGAGGGAGAGGTACGTCGATGGTGCAGAGTGGGGAGAGAGAATGAGGGAAACGTGGGTTTTAAGGGAAAATGGAAATTAAAATACACTTTTCCCCCCAAAACGAAAAAACAAAATCCCCCAAAATCTCTAACAATTATGATTTATTTCCAAAAAATTTGAAAATTTTTACTTACCTCCTCTCCTCGGAAGCCGAAATTAGCTATAAATACCTCCCTGCATGCATGCCACGTCCTGATGCTCTCACCGGCCATGTCCTTTCGTGTCAGCGACGTCACGCCTTCTTCAATGCAAGCCCGTTTTAAAAGTTGCCCATTCAACCAGATTTGTAATTATTTCCCCCCAAAAATCAAAATGAAAGCTAATTAGAATTCAAAATTCAAAATGGCAGAAAAACAATTAAACGTCTAAATTTCTAAATTCGAAGCTGGAGAGCAATAAATCAATTAATCATTAAATCCTATTCCCTTTATTCCGCTGTTGGTTTCTAAGTCTATGGCAAAGTGGTGAGCTTCAACATCTCTCACCACGCTTCCTCCATAAAAATGCTTCAGCCTTTGCCTGTTCACTGTGAATTCTCTTCCCGAATCCATCTCTTGTACTTTAACTGCTCCATGGGGAAAGACGTGCGAAACCAAAAATGGGCCTGACCATTGTGATTTGAGTTTCCCTAGTCTCGAATTAAAAAGCAACACTTGTTGCCCTTCCTCAAATCTTCTAAGATTGATTTTCGCATCGTGCTAGCGCTTCGTCTTTTCCTTGTATAACTTCTCATTTTCATACGCGTCTCTACGGAATTCTTCAAGCTCTAGTAGTTGTAAGTGGCAACATCGCCAACGGCAGAATAATCCAAGTTTAATTTTTTCATAGTCCAAAAGGCCTTATGCTCTAGTTCCAATAGGAGATGGCAAGGTTTCCCAAAATCTAACTCGTAAGGGATGTTCCAAGAGGTGTCTTGAAGGCTGTACGATAAGCCCATAAAGCGTCATCCAACTTCATCGCCCAATCTCTTCGATTTGTGCCAACCACTTTTTCCAATATGCTCTTGATCTCTCGATTGGATATCTCAGCTTGCCTATTTGATTGGGGGTGGTAAGCTGTGGATACTTTGTGCCTGTTGTTATACTTAGCTATGAGAGATGTTATAGCTTTGTTGATGAAGTGAGAGCCTTCGTCACTGATCACAGCTCTGAGTGTACCAAATCACGTGAATATTTGCTTGTGGAGAAACTTTGCTACTACTTTAGCATCACTACTGGCGCATGCCACTGCTTCGACCCACTTTGACACATAATCGACTGCCAATAATATGAAGATGTTTCCATTGGATGGAGGGAACGGGCCCATGAAGTCCATACCCCATACATCGAAAAGTTCCACCTCTAAGATGTATGTGAGAGGCATTTCTGATCTCTTGGAAATATTTCCAACCCTTTGACATTCGTTGCAATTGTGGATTAGCTTATATGCATCCTTGAAAATGGTGGGCCAGAAGTATCCGCTTTGGAAAACTTTTGTTGCTGTGCGCTGCCCTTCAAAGTGACCATCGTATGGTGCTGAATGACATTTAGCCAACACTTGTCGTGCTTCAGCCTTGGCGATGCATCTTTTGATCACTTTATCTTGGCCAATCCTATAGAGATATGGATCATCCCACAAATAAAACTTACTCTCATACAAAAACCTTTTCAACTGTTGCTTGTTCATGCTTGCTGGCAGAATTCCACTAATAATATAGTTGGCTAGATCTGCAAACCATGGTTCCTCATCTTCATTCCGAACTCCAATGGCCAACACTTGTTCATCTGGGAAGGTTCCTCTAATTTCAATCCTATTCTCAAGGCATTCCAGAGTAGGTAGCCTAGACAAGTGGTCAGTAACCAAAATTTCTGTCTCTTTCTTGTCCTTGATCTCTATATCGAATTCTTGCAGTAGTAAAATCCAACGAATCAGTCTTGGTCTAGCATCCTTCTTTGTCAGTAAATATTTTAGAACCGCATGGTCCGTGTAAACAATCACCTTTGACCCGACTAGATATGATCTGAATTTTTCAAAGGCGAACACCACTGCTAATAGTTCTTTCTCCGTGGTGGTGTAGTTAATCTGTGCCTCGATCAAAGTTTTGCTGGCATAGTAAATCGGGTGCAACAGCTTCCCTCTGCGTTGAGTAAGAACTGCTCCTGCAGCATAGTTGCTGGCATTGCACATTAATTCGAAAGGTTGGTTCTAATCTGGAGCTTCATTATTGGAGCATGAGTGAGAGCATACTTCAACATATCGAACGCCTGCAAACAGTCAGATGTGAGCATACTTATTATATGGCTTCCAGATCATCTGATATTGTAATAAAAAAATCGTGTAATTAATTATAAACCAATATATATTTTTATATTCTAACATTTAAAAAACGTACCGATCCTGGTGACAAGAGGTCCAACATGTATCTATACTGGATTAAAACATGTGTAGATATTTCTGTAACACAAAATTGATCTCTCCACCTACAATAATATTATAGGTTAGTACAACAATTGAATGCGTAAAAAAATTTTAAGAGGAAAATAGGACAATATTTATATCGACGTACCGGGCAGCTAATGGTCGACCCACGAGCTCGTGATCTGAGATGTGACGACGTTGTGGAGCCATCGTGGGGAACCTATCCCAAGCCCATACTTGAAGAAGTATAATTGGACCACCAATGTCACATGAGTYAGAGCGACACGCTTTGCACAGATTTCGATACAACCATGCCAAACATGCTCCACCCTAACTAAAACGTCCAGCTACCTCAAAATCTGCTAACAGTGGGAGGAACATTAAATGACAAAGTTGTTAGACTTATCGGCGAATAGACTACCACCGATAAGCTGCATAATATAGGCACGAGCGTATCTGGCAATGGTTTCCTCATCAGCATCGTCGACTAGATTATGAAATTGAGAAGCTAGCCAAGGTAGACTCAGCCTAGAGTCTCTGATGTACGCAGCACCTAGAGTCACCTCAAGTAATGCTTGACAAGTACCTCTCCAATCATAATCAATGCGACCAGTAATAGGCTCGCCATCTACTGGTAACCCAAGCCGCACCGCTACAGTCTCCATCCGGCATGTGGAATATATGAGTCTCTGGCCTCCACCATTCCACAATTGCAGTAATGAAATGCCAATCTAATTGGATGAATCCCAATCTGGCAAATCCGTAAAATCCAGAAGCGCGTAATGCAGGTTCAATCAAAGGATGCAATGGGATGGTGAGATCCAATACTGCCTCTCTATGTCGGTAGTGCAACTCCTCGTTACACTGACCTTGCTAAACTAGCTCTAATCGGTGTTGAGCTTGGTCATACAATACAGATCGATCTATAGGACTTGGGTTTAATTCCATAATCTAATACGATAGATAATCATTAGTTGGAAACTGAAATTTAAATTTTAAAACAATAGTCACAACACAGAGTATCAATTAAACTAAAAGTACAATCACATAGAGTTTTTATTAAAAAAATAAATTACATCGACAATTAAACAAAACATATATGATTCAGACTAAAGTTTTCAATTACATCAACGTCTATAAAGGTGCTTCTCATCGTCTCGAGGGACAGCTTCTTCGATTGTGACCAAGTTGATTACAAAGCCCGCATCTTTGTTGAACACTTGGTTCTCTCCAATCCATCTCGTTATGAATACGCGAGCTCCTTGGTCTTCGAGGCAATCTCAATAATGTTGGATCAGGGTGCAATATAGATAAGCTTGGGTGAACGATCCGATAATCTTCATGTGGGATTGGTTGAAATTGTATTTTTCGTTTCTACTTAAAGCATCTATTGTCTCCTCCCTCCGCTTCTCGAAATATTTTACGCACCTGTAGAATGTAAGTTCTAAAACGCAGTGATGGGTAACATCCAAGCTCCTTTCAGCACCCCATTAATGCATTCAAAAAGATTGGTTGTCGTCCACCCATATCTAAATCCACCATCATGTGATAGGGTCCACTTCTCAATCCCAATGTTGCGGAAGAAATTTATACAAGAACTATTCAGTAATTTAATATTTTCCACCTCCTTGTTATACTTTCAAATTTGAAATTGAGCACTGGCACGATATACCGAATCTTTCAATTCGGTACACTTGTATTTATGGTTGAAGTTGCTAGAAACATGTCGTAGACAGAATCCGTGATGCGATTTAGGTCCGGTCCAGCTATTATCTGGATTATGAACCGCATAGATAATACCACCATGTCGATCTGAAATTAAACATATCTCTTCATGCGTAACAACTTTTCTTAAGTTTTTTAAAAATCATCCCCAAGTCTGACGACTCTCTTCATCTACAATGGCAAAAGCAAGAGGTAACAAATGTCCATTTGAATCGACTGATGTTGCAATCAATATCTTCCCTTTATACTTTCCATAAATGTGAGTACCATCTATTTGAATCACGGGGCGTAACTTTTGAAAGGCTGCAATGCAAGGACCAAATGACCAAAATATAGAATGAAGAATGTCATGACCCGGTTTTCCATAGTTCCTAATTTTCCATTCAACAATTGTTCCTAGATTAGTGTGTTTCGGCATGTACATCCACTTTGGCAAAAGTTGATATGACTCATCCCAATCACCAAAAATACGAGCCAAAACATTTGTTTTTCCTTCCCAGACCCTCTCATAAGGAACATGATATCCAAATTTTTCCTTGATCAGATCTTGATGTGTCGCAATACTCGTAGAAGTATTAGCTCTCACTGCATCACAAAATTCTCTACTTATCATATTTGAATCCAATTGACAATGACTTTGATTAAATTCTGATATACACAAGAATGTTGGTCCACGTACTTTGTAATCTCCCATAGGTTAATACCTGTAACGCCCCAAGAATTTCACCATTTCCAAACAGGGACCGTTACTAAGCCTACCTAAAATTTTCACATAAACAAGAGAATTTTCTTCACAACAACACTAAGCAATAAAACTACCACACTTCTGCTGCGCTACTCTGATTTCCAACACTCACGAGAGCTTGAACAATTAGAACAACAACACTAATGTTTTAAGAGAAACTCACATCCTATACAGATAAACCATTTAATACCGACTTCACATTAACCAAACCCTTCAAGGAAACCTTACTAACTATAAACCATCCATTAAATGAATATTAACATCTCGAATGGCAATGAAGCAAAAGCTAATTCAAGTACGATCAACTTAAACAAATGTATTCATAAATATCCTAAGTGGATTACAATCCCGTAGTTCAAGAGGCTAACAAAATTAATGCTCTAAAAGAACAATGAATCGGCAACCTTACGACATCCTTTAGACAATAAAACTAAACAAAACCAACCACTACCAACTCAACTACAACATTAAATGACCACAACTATCCTAACTAAATGAAATTAATTGCACACAGCATAGCTAATGGTCTTTCCGATCAAGCCTCCTTCTCGCCATCACCATCCCAAGAGCTAGCTCAATACCTGCGAACTGGAGGGGAAAAGGAGGGATGAGTACAACCACAGTACTCAGTAAGCAACCCTTATTTGAAGGGTCACGCACAAACAGCATACTTATCAAGGAACAACGTGTCATGCTTATTAAAGAATCAACACACACACATCATGCTCAACCAAATCATGAAACATTCACAGTCATGCTTTTCATCACATTATGCATTCAAACATAGACACATTCTATAAACTTCGGTGACAACCACAACCAGTAACACATTAACTACCAACCTCTAGTCTCCCTAACATTACCAGTACCTCTAAGCTTATCTCAATTATCATACCCTTCCACAGCTATCTCCTTCAAATAGAGTCGGCCCCTGACCATTTATACCCAGAGCCCCGACCCTGCAGCATCGGCCCTCGACCATTTATACCCGAGGCCTTGAACTCTGCATCGACCCTCGACCATTTATACCCGAGGCCTCGATGTCTTACAATCTATTGGCCCTTGACCATTTATACCCAAGGCCCCAATAGTTCTCCTTT